CGATAGTTCGCACACCCAAGCAGTGGTGTATTTAGGTTCGCAGAAAAACAAAACAAAACAAAAACAAGAGGAAAGGAACTAACGAAACGATGAACGCAACGTCAGTTGTACTCACCGATTTTTAGGGCCTTGTTCCTTCTCCAAAATTGCCCTCACGAGAAAGATTACAAACGTCTCGATGAAATGACTTCAGAGATATTCCAAATAAATGTCGTCCAAGTTTTAAAGAGTTTACGGATATTTTTGAACAAGTACAACGGCAGAATGAGAGACAGGGCTATATTATATTATGCCAGGCTTCTAAATTTACGATTATAAAAGTGAAAAATTTACTTGCAAAGCTAAAAACAAACACACCCTTTACCCCGATTGGCTGAATGTTATTTCTCTTTGTTTGTCCATTTCATCAGCAAAGTCACGTGTCACGCTAAAAACCGCAATGGACGCTACTTCGCACTACAGAAGTCACGTACTTTGCTAAAACAAACTCCAACGACGAGAATCATTTTCCTGGTGAGAATCAACATACAAGGATTGAAAATGAAACCAGCTTTTTATCTTTTAGTAAATACCGGCTTGCGATTCTGTTCTTTTTTGGAGAATCGGCAGAATCGGGTCACCCGTATTTCCGGTACGTGACAACTGACATACGTCCACTTTCTTGCGTGCGTGGCACAAACCCGTGACATTTGAGAGATGATGCAATGTCAGTCAAGGGCAACTAAACGGTGAAACTAGTATTTTTGTTAAATAGAAGGAAGGAAAACAAAATAACTTAAAGCCAAAGAAAAGTAAATTGTATGAGAAGTTACTGTATTATTCGGTAGGAAAAACAAAAGAAAAACATGACGGATATGGTTTCGATTTCTTCCTTGTACCTTGCGAGCAGTGGTTTCTCAGGCGGACGCTACGCTACGAAGGGAGAGCTGGAGAGACCACGGCTCGCAGGGTACCTTCCTTGTCGATTTAATATTAAAGCATTTTTCAGTGTCGAATATAACGCGTTTCTGTCATGTAAATATATTCCTCCTTCCCTGATATTTGAGTTAAAATTATCATCGTTGCATTGTTACATAGAGTTAGGTGGTACCCGCACTACAATTGAGCTTGGAGGTTGTGGTTTTACTGCTGTTTCAATCTCCGGGCCAGGATTCGTGAAAATTTTCCTCTAGCCCGCGAAAACATCCGTTTCTCCTCGCTCTTTGGGGACGTTTCGCGCGAACGAAGAGCGAGGAGAAAAGGATGTTTTCGCAGGCTAGTTTTTCTCTCGCAGAACAATCTTCGTTTACAAAAACGTAGCCTGTGTACAGCCGCCCCTCCCCTTAAAAAAATCGGAAAGGAGAGGGGCGGCTGTACACAGGCTACAAAAACGTCGCAAATTCAAAATATATATATTTGAAAAAACGCTCTTTCAAAGTCACGATTTATTTAAACTCAGCGTTATTTTTTACATGCAAGTGGGTTCTTAAGTGATTCTCTTCCCGGAGTAGAAACTGTAGAAAATCTCTGAAACGCAGTTTTATGTGGTTGGACTGCTACTTCAGTGAAGGATATAGGAGGACGCGAAGCGGGTCCGGATAGGGGCGAAGAAGACCAGTCTGCTTGTACAGCTTTCTACAAAGACTAAGACTGCAAAACAGTAGTGCAAGAGTACCTTAAGAGGCTCACACGCGCGAAGTGCGCGAGCCTCACATGCCCGGACTGTTTTGCACTCCAACAGCCTCTTCAAAAGAGGGGCAATACCATCGAGGGTTATTTGAGGTACTGCTAGTACTATTCGAAAACCTAACAGTTATACTCCAGAGAAGATGGATACGAAATAAGAGGGTGAACTGGAGAAAACGCCAGGAAGAAAAAGTTTGAAAAAATAGCTTAAAAAAACCAGCATTTTTCATAGTGTACTTGCACCTTGAAGGGATCATTCTAAGATGATGGGCAAAGTTCCTTATATAAATCTTACAATAAATTGCCCTATATAACTTAATCCTTTAAGTCCTCACTTTACGACTCCTTTAAGTGAACACTTTAAGACTCCTTAAAGTCTTGACTTTAAGACCTCTTAAAGTGTTCACTTTAGAACGTCCAATTTCACACGAGAAAAGCCCAATGCCAATGAGCGAGAAGAGGAGATTTTAATGAGGTTCGACGTTTGCCGGGACCTTCCTTAGTTATTCAGTGGTCACTTTGTGTTCATCGCCGAATGTATCCTCCCATGTCTAGCCTACAGTTTAAAGAAAAACTTGAGAGAATTTTGGAGCCGATACTACTACATCAGTATCATCAAAACAGGGTACACGTTGCATCTATTTCGTGCTTTATAAAGTTCTGTGATTTTAAGGCAGGTACGGTAAAACGGGCAACAAACTGAAAACGTAAAACTTATTCTGTGACTTTGCTGCAAAACGAGTTGGAAAGCGACGTTACGCTTTTTACCACCCACGAAAAAAACTTTGCAAGACAGGTTCGAAACTGGGTGGTAAAACGTGCAACATCTGTAATCAAATCGATTTGCAGAAATGTTGCTAATCAAGTTCCACATTTTTTTTAGCTTTATACAGAGACAGAAAGTCTCACCGTGTGGCACATTTTTTGTTATTGCGGGTTCTAATCTTTGCGATTTTAGTGGTTTCTTTCACGAACCACAAAAATAGTTAAGCCCTTCACCAGCCCCCAACCAATAAAGGACAACGGTACTCGGATGTTGGTTCGCATGTCTTTTTGTGTCCAATCAGCGTAACAATTTTGAATGCAATTTGCAAGAATCGTACAAATTGATTCAAAGTGAGACAGTTAGAATGGTCCAACCGCAAAAATTGGTAACCGCAAAATTAAAAAAAGTCATCGATTCGCACGATTTATCTGTTACAAAGCCACAAGGTCATTATTTTTTGTAGAGTTAAACCTCCGAGGAGATAAACCAACGACCCTCTCGCATCCGCTTGACCCAATTAAGTCTACTGCCATGTAACTTGAATCGCGTCCACACACAAATTTGTACACACGCGCACACGATAGGCACGTACACAAGTACATAAAAACAGCCCCAACGTAATGCGCTGTTAGTGCTGTCATGAAAGCTCGTTCTACGATTGGAAGACGAGGCCCACAAATCGTCCGTGTAGAATAGGGAGTGACCGGTTTGCTCGGCTAAAAGCCACGTTCCTATGAGAGGAGCTAGGGTTTGTCCTGGCTTGGATAAAAGTGCTGATGTTCCAAATATTAGCGCTGAGATCGCTTGTTTTCGATTGTGAAGAACAAAGTCTTCGTCCACAAGATCACTGATTATCAGATTGAGGAGCTTGCATGTCCCCTCGGTGAAGACACGATTGCTGAAAGATAATGAAACAAAGAACTGTTATCTTGCAATTAAGTCTAAGTCATTTCAGAGTGAATAACGAATTTATTGTAAGTTCGCGATCATTCAATCTGAATCTCGAGAAAAGGATCAGAAGGAGTAGCAACAGGTTTGAACTTAATGAGCATTGGGAAAAAGAAAAACGAAAAGGGAAACCAAAGCGAACTTTCGCCTTCTTTGAATGACCTTTCCAAACTTACTGTTCCCAACTACTTCTTTGGGATCCAAAACATGGCAGACGCTCAAGGGGGCGCACAGCAACCACATTTATTGACCAACTAGAGAGTGGCACTGGCCTTTCGAGGCAGGATCTTGCACCTGTCATGGCCAACAGACGGGAATGGGACAGACTTATAAAATCAGTGCGGGTGCACCCGAAATAGATAGATAGATTTAACAGCAATGTAACAAACACTTCAGCCCTCCAGATGCTTTATAAAAACTAAATCTTCTCTCTTACTCCATTCTGTTTCCACTCTTCAGCCGAAAATTAAAGCCTTGCTCGCGTGGTATACCTAGTATGAAGTCTGAACTTTTCCATTCCGTATAATTCAGCTCATAGTAATGACGTCAAATACTCGAAGCTAAATTTGAATCATTCGCCTCAGCGGTTCGTATCAACTAAGGCCCCACATGGAGAAACGCTTTCTCAGGAGGCTTACTCTCCCAGCCGCGTCAACTTCAGCGAGCGTTTATATGAGAACACTTTGCCCGAGCCAGGAAATACGCTCGAGCATGCTCTGATTGTCTCGCCTTAACCAAGTTCACCCGGCTAGGATGTTGACAGCCTACGAAAACAGCCGTTTCTCCTGCCTCCACAGCGGCGAAGAGCTAGGAGAAACGGCTGTTTCCGCAGGCTAGGACGGTGATCCTACCTTGCAAACGGTTCGCCAAGTTTTGTAAGGCTATAAAGTGTTACGCTCATTAATTTCGGAACTCTATGATAATGGAACATACCTGGCTATATAAAAACACAGCAGCAAAGGCCAGTTCGGTCCAAACGTCAGCATAATGATACTAAGCAAGAGCTTTACACAAAACAACCACTTAATCACAGAGTACACTCCAAAACGACGACAAAGGTTTAAGAAATACAGATTGTTTATGTGGGGGGCCACGAAGGACACGCCTAGAAGAAACGACCCTGTCTCGGGTGAAATGGAATCTCCAAGGAGCTTATCCAGAAAAAGTGGGAAAAAATTACTGTTGAAATGGCAATGAAACACCTGAAAAGAAAATGGTAAAAATTTGCATAAGTGGATTCATTTAGTCATATGCGAGGCAAGCAACACAGCTTCTCTTTTTGATGTGTCAGACGGCGAGAATGACTGAAAAGTTCTTCACATACAAGTAATCATCTACCTTATCTGAACATTATCACAACTAGTCTATTTTTTGAGTTTAACACTTACAAGAGTGGAATTAAAAATTGACAAGCTCGTGTGAAGCTTACACACGTTTTCCATTCTTGGCTAGCCAGAAGCAAGTTCTCTCTCAGTTCTCTTCACTCAATTTTGGGTCCCATCCATGCGTGAGCCAAGAATAACGGTTTGTTATAACAAGGACTTTGTTAGAGTGGCTGGCCACATTATTAATCTGAGATTCCACTGAATTGATTACTCCTGGTGACACCGTCCCTTAAAAACTCTCTCATTAATGTCAACTTACTTGTACTAAGTTCATAACTGCAAACCACAAGAAATTAGAGTGTGTAACCAGTTGCTTGACAAATAACTTCAGCTCAAGGGATTGATCATCTTCTGGAGTTGTAGAGTGTATTTCTACCCTATGAGATGTTGGGAAAGGGAAATTGGCACTCAAAACTTCAGTTTTATAATTCACCAGGGTAAATGCCAAATCACCTCCTCATGCATCTATCCTCCAACAACCTCTCAACAAATCTCATTCTAGTGGGTCAGTTAAGCCAGTGTCCTATTAAAGGCCATTTTTTATAGTGAGAAGTGAGAAGAGGATTGTTGTGTAATGGGAGGCCATTCTAAACAGTGGACAGATTTAAACAGTCAAATGACTGTGGTGTACTGCAGTACCTCTGAAAAGGTCAATCTGCAGACATTTACCATTACGTGACATATAACAAATAAACTTTAATAAAATAAAGACAAAAGAGAGAAAGATTCAGCATGGGAGGGAGGAGAAATTGAAATCCGAAAAATATATTTTAACTTTTAAGGAAATTTCTTCCAGTACTTCATTTGCAAAATGAGAAATTTCACCAGCTTGATTGTCATAAGGAGATATGTCAGATGATTACTCAATATTACTGCTATCCAAAAAGTAAGTGATGCGAAAATTTACTCAACCGCAGCACAATCAGAGCTGTCATTAGGGGCCGTAAGACCTGTAACATCTGTTACATCTGAGCTAACTTAGTGTTACGGGTAATCAATCCTATAATTTCTGGGAGATTTTTTGGGTGGTTTTCACTAATGACGGACTTAACGATTCGATGAAAACAGCATTCTCATTCCACTCACGACTGAGTCGTTTATGATCAAGTGAAAACTAGATAGTCAGAGTCGGAAGCAGAAGTGGAAGAAGAAAACCAGTCACAAAGCTTGGGAATGTGCATTGTGATTGGTTCTGCTTTTGCTTCCAACTCTGACAAGCTGGTTTTCACTTGATCATAAGCGACCTAGTCATAAGCGGAGTTGGAAGAAAATGGAAACATTCTGATTATTCCAACTGTGACTCCGCATATGATTCCTCACAACTCTGACTTTTGATTTTCACAAGGTCTTAGGTGCTCTTATGACTGCGCTTATGATTTCAACTCCGTCAGCAGTGAAAACCAGCCTTTGAGGGTGATTCTTCATCTGCTATGGCTACTTCAAAATTTAATGACAACCTAGCAACTTATTAACTTTCTCACCTTTCTTCTTCATCAGGAGTATCTACTTTAATTTTCTTCGTAACAATATGTTGTTTGAGCAAAAGCGAGCTGACCAGAAATCCAACCAGTGAAAACGCAGCAAGGATTGTGCAGAAAATATGAAATGAGTTCATGTTGTCTCTATTCCAAAATCTGTATGAGAGGAATACAGACAATGAACCACATCCACTGAAAACTGAGCAGTACCAGTTGAGAGTCGCCCTATCATCACTTGACAATGCCAAGTCAGCAAGAAGGGCAAGGTGGTTTAAGTCTATCATTGTTAAAAATCCATCATATAAACAGAGACATAGGACAAATTGGATTGATGGGTGGCACCAGCGAAACCAGACACACAAGAAGGACAAGGTGAACAGTGGTCCATACTTCGTAAGAGCTCTGTAATAGAACAATAAGGTTACGGTCAGGACCATCTTTGGAGAGCAAGGGTGGCACAATGGTGAGAGCACTTGCCTAGCTGCCACTAATGTGGTCCAGGTCCAAACTTTAATGTTGATAAAATATACAGCTATTTCGAGAAAGGTTGACCAAAAAAGATGAGCACGTGAGAATCCTGAAAAGTAGTACGGAATATGATCAATACACCGTTCCTGACACTGGAGCTGTCAAATCCACTTCTTGTTGCTTTCCTTTAGCACTCACAAATTATGTCCTTGGCCACTTGTGCCATTGTTTGAATTTTTTTTGAAAAACAGTGAACTCAAAACCACCCACAATACCTTTTGGGGTTGTCGCATGCACTTTTTCCGAAAACCATTCTTGAAACAGCTGTATATATGTGGGTTGAGCTTGTTGTTGGTTCCCTCTCTTGCTCTGAGAGGTTTTTCTCTGGGTACTCCAGTTTTCCACTCTCCTCAAAAACCAACATTTTTAAATTCCAATTTGTCGCCAGGAATGGTAGATGAAGAACCATTATGTGGATGTGCTACCTTTAAATCGTTATATTTTATTTTAAATTATATTTATATTTATAGATAATTTATATTTTTAGAAACCTAATTTGATTTTCATTTTATTCGAATTCCTTATCATAACAACTTATTTGACTTTCTAGCCATTCCTAACAAAAGCTTCAATACGCAATGTGCCTTCAAGTAAAATTGTTTATTTGTGACTGGCAAGTACCTGAAACGTTTTTGAACAATCTCTGGTTGAGTAAGGCTTGACCTGTTGGGAAAAGAAAAAAAGGAAACTTATATAACTGAAAAAATGACAAACAGAATGATTTTTTTAGTACACCTGGTATCTTAATTAATTATGGCACTAACATGATTTACAGCCAAAAATAAAATTGGCATAAGACAATCAATACAATAACAGATTTTAATACTAATACTACTTCTAATAAACAAATAATAGTATTTAATAATAAAAAAAAGTATTAACGAAAAAGAGTTACTTAATCCTGTCAGAATGATATAATACACGACGATTCAATCTACAGGATAGGAAAAAACATTTTACACAGTCACAAGCTTTTGGTTCCTTGTGAAACCTTTATGAAGTGATGGATTTGGGAATTTTGTCACATGATTTGTACTGTGAATCAAGTGACAAAATATCTCGCTAGATCGAGGGGAGCTCACAACAAGCGTCTCTGTTCAATACCGAAGCCTGACAAAATATTGAAAGCTTGTGTGTAAAACGTTTTTTCCTATCCTGTAAATTGAATCGCCGTTTATCATAATGATAAATATTAATATTATTGCTATTATTATGATTATCGTCATCTGCAAAACAGAGTTAAAGTTAAGGTAAAATCTGCTTTCGAGTCTTAAAGGGGCTCATTGGGCCAGAGCTTATCTAAGCCTGTGTGGTGAGCATTGTTACATAGGGAAAAGGAAGAGAATTATTGACACACCAAAAAAGGGAGAGGCACTCAAGGGAGAAGTAAGGGAATGCCTGTAAGGACACTATTGTGTTTTTCATTTGTTACATCCATCAGAGAGGTGTAAAAATCCCGATTGGTCAGAATTCCATAGGTGTTAATCACTGCCTTAATACCTTTGTCCGATTTGCTGACATCAACTTAAGGTTCTTTGAGTAACTTGTTTCATCTTTCAGTCACCAAATTTGGATACAGCGAGTGTAGAAGGAAGAGATTTTGAGTTTTATGGGAATTTATCCCGAATAACTTTTACTTACAAATATGCCAAGGGTGTGTCGCTGTGTTTCTTTCTTAGACAGGAAGTGTTGAAAAGCATTAATGTTCACATTACTTAAAACAGAGAAGAGTAATTTACAGCATTTACAGCATAAGTAAGTTCCCCACACTGCTTTGCTTGTTTATAGTGTCACAGTCGGTCAGGTCAATAAAAACTTACTGGTTTTTTCCAAGTGCTCTGTGGTCACTCAACCAACCAAACAGAGGATCATTCAGTGAGTTCCATACCAAAAAAATTGCCTAGTGTGGAAGAAAGGTACAGGTATAAATAATCAGAAAACAAATGGCAAAATTTTAAATTCTCTTTCCATATTTAGTCCTGATCAATGAATGTACCTAAAAAAATCAGCCTCATCACAAAGGCATTCTACATGTAGCAGCCAAGGGGCTCTCACAGCAAGGGCTTATACAGGCTTTAGGACCTGTTTACATGGACATGGGGGACCCCAGGTAGGTGAGGTAACTCGCTTAGGTGGGGTAACCTGCCTTTCCATGTAGTCTCTCATTTAAAATATATTTATTGATTATGTCTACATCATGATAGGTAGGGTGGCCACATAAGAGAGTATATGGACAGGTGGGTTACCCCATCTAAGCAGGTTACCTCACCTTCCTCCTACCTCCAAGTAAACAGGCCCGAAGAAGCATGAACCACCTGGGAATAATATTGTAACTAACCCATGAAAAGAATGCTAGTCCACTGCAATGTTACCTCCAGCAACATCTTGTGGAGCTGCCATTATTTATACACTTGGGCTTATGAGGACAAAGTACTGAAACAAAGCTTCTTATCTTATCTTTTCTTTCTTTAAATTTGTGTGTCTCTTCCCCCGCCTCGATTAGGCTCTCCTATACGCGGGTGGAAGCTGTCGTGTAATTGTAAATTGAAAGTGAATGAATAAAGTTGAAGTTCAAGTTCAAGCTGGAGTCCTGATTGCAAAATAGGAAGTGTATATAATTATATATTTACCCATTGCCCAGTTGTTCAAAGGATGATCATTGCAAATTCAGGGTTAATGTTGAGATTTCAACCAGCAGGCCCTGCAGTTTACAGTGACTGGAGCTAAACGGCTTTGAACAACTCAACCTAGGAGTCAGCTATACTGGACATTTTTGCCTCTTTCTCTTTGGACTTGGATTTTTAACCCTTTAAGCCCCAAGATCCACATACAAATTCTCCAGACTGATCTCCATACATTTCTTTTAAGAACAGTTGAGAGAATTTGGTTTAAGATCAAAGGATTCTCCCTTTGGTAATCAATTTAGTAATTCTCATAACCTTTACTCTTGATGATCTGCTGATGTTGTTAGGAGAAAATTGATGTTGGTCACTCTTGGGACCTAAAGGGTAAAGTTACTTTATAATATTATTGAACAGGGATGATTTCTCGTCAGTCTCCTTAAAATCCCTGATTGTTCCTGACCAAGATTATCCACTCTTCCAATGCCACAGTTCATCACTGACACACAGACACTCTGCTTTGAGTTACATGCATGCCTTTGTCCCATTTATGCGGAACAGCTGGTGCCTGTTATTTAGGAATAATGGGTCACAAATTTATCTCTATTTTGTCTGCTCCAAGGCATGATGGTACACTTTTGTATTAAATTAAAGCAAGAACCAGCTTCCCCATGCTAAGTGCCACGCCATTTAATATTCATGTTACAGGTCAAAATTAAATTCAGGTTAAATTTTAATTTGACCTACAACATACACTGCCACCCCTTCCCCTCCATAAAAACGAGTTCTCGGTGCATACTGTAAATTACAGACCCAGTTTTTTGCTATCAATTTTTGGTCCAAGCGCAAAGCGTGGCACCATAAATCTATGGAAAAAAATGAGGATCCATAATTTACAGTGAGTATGGCTCGAGAAAAATGAGGCTGATAAGATGTTTATTATATGGCTTCCTGTTTGGGAGAACTGGAAACAAGTTTTCAAGCTTATATCATGATGGGATAGTCCAAAAAATGTTTTTTGTTTAAATGGCCATGAATGCTAAACGTTCTTACTTCTGGTTCAAGCAGAACATTTGTGGATGACGTAGTTTATAACACGTTCAAATCAGTCGCAGAATGATCTGTTTCGTATGCAAGATTTATCGCGCGATTGTTTGTTTAAGCCATGGAGACACGAGTTTCATCATTTCCCTTACAAAACTATATTTTCAAATAAAACACATCACGTTAACGTCACAATAAGGAGGGAATTCTAAACAAGATAAAACTGCTTACCTCTCCCAACCAAAAGGAATTCCGATCAATTTTGTACACAGAAACAAATATGTCTACGTAATACAAAAGGAAGACATTGTGTAGAATCGCTATGAACAGCGACATTGAGCCATAAGCTAGCCTAACCGCAATAGTCTTATGAAACATATTTTCCTGTAACAAATTTGTGTTTTGTGTAGGGATCACATAAACTACAGGTGACCTTCTACCCAAAACATAAAATTTTCACGAACGGGAAGAAAGATAATCTCTGTCAGTACTTCATGTAAGGCATCGCATATTGTCCCACAATAATACTTTACGTAACTACCCGGGGGTACCTTCAACTCCCCGTCCCCCGCCAAATAACGACGCTTCGGGCGCGATCCATTCAACCAAAATTTCCGGAAATTTCGGTCCAAAACTCAATAAATCGGTTTGGTCCAACCGGAAAAGTTTCGAAAAAACGGGTCCACCTTTTGAGGTGGACCACTTTTCCCGGTCGGACCGGTTGGAATTTTGGTTGAATGGATCGCACCCGTCGTTTCCTTCAGTCATTGGGTATTGCAATTCTAGAAATTTGGTTGGCATGTATTTTATATTTTGTCATCGTGGTATATGAGCCTTTCCACCCGTGCTTTCCAAATATGGTCAGTGTATGCTTCACTTAAACATGTGAGGCGAATTGTAGTTTTAACAAGGCCTGAGAAACTTTATCATTAAATAATCAAAGGGATACTATTGTAACACAATTTTAATTTTCGAACCAAAGGTAAATGAATATAGAAGGTGAACATATACATATATTACTTACAAAAAAAAGTCTTTATTACAAAAGATAAGTTTGTTCAGGCTAGAGACTGCAAAAACAAGGAAAAATATAGTGTTTAGTAAACAGTTTAAATACAGTGATATAGATCCTATTCGCCTTTTTTGAAAGATCCACAATGTTTTCTTTTTTAGTGTTAAATACTTACGCAGAGTAATAGTCACACTTTAATTTCAAAAAACATATCTAGAAATATTTACTTGTTCCCTGACCTCAGAACTGTGAAAAACCGTAGTCGGTATAAACAGCTGATTCAACTGAGAGTTTAACGATGAGCATAAAAAGAAAGGTTTCTAACATTTCGCCCTCTTTTTTGCGATTACTAACATAAGTTTTAGAAACTCTCAGATATAATGTTTCGCGTCTTTGTAGCTTTGTTCTCCCTTTTCGTCGTGGCTTGGGGTAAGTACACATTACAAGTTGTCAATGTTGCCAAGCTAGAAGGCACTACGCTGGAGAATTAAACAGTTTTATCAATGATTCTTGGTACCAAATATACCCTTTTCCGATTTACCCAAAGTTCTTTCTTTGTTTTAGATTTCTCTGACTTCCCTGCATGAACTCTGTTGAAACTGTTTACATGTATACCACTTTTTGAATTCTGTTTTCTGAGTTTCTCTTTCGGTTGTTATGTAGTCTTGGTGTGTATGATAATTTCCATAAAAGGTACTTTTTTGGTCGGTATTCTTTCGAATAAACAGTAGAGGAATCACGCACGTCTCAAAACTTGAAGCCTCTTTCAAACTAGTCCCAGCTGTGTCAAACCAGGACCAGCCAGTCACTTTCATATACTGATATTTTATAGCTTTAATACCCTGAGTACTATGAATATAAAAATGTACTCCAGTCACTAGTGGCGTAGAAGACCATGTGTCCTGAAAAGAGAAGTGTTGTAAAAGCGTAAGAAATATGGCATTCTTCAAATTTCTTGCCTATTTTTTCCTTGTCCCTTTTTTATGTTATTGGAACAGATATCGGCTGAGGCCGAACAGGAGTGGGCCATATTTTCTCAATCGTCATATTAAT